CATCAGCCAAGAGGCAGCAGGCAGCAGGCAGCTTGCAGACGGCTCGTCTCAAGGACCCAACTCAACTTGGACTATATGCGATATATATATATATATATGCATCCGCGACGCCATAAACTTTGCCATGTATTCATACCTCACATATATGTGTATATATATTGTATGTTATAGTATATTCCTGGTGCATGTGCAACTCTTTTGAAGACATAAATTTGCAAAATGCCGTGCGTTAAACAGCTGATGTTTTATGGTCTTATGAGCAACACGAAGTAGCACAGCAAGAAATTGGAAACAAACAGGAAAATATTCTTTAAACTAAGACAAGATGTATAAGCCAAATCGAGAAAGAGAAGCAAATTTCTTTACAAGATAAATTTGTTCTGAATCAATTTATATGTATATATTTAAAGTTCATTTTATTTTAAAATTGTTTCCTGTGTGTCATTGCGGCTAGAAAGGCCGTCGAACTGCCTTGGCAAAGCAAATTGCAATGCATTTCCACTCAACGCCTCGGGCGTTAGTTGGAATTTCAAATTTGTTTTCGGGCGCTGACTTTTTCCTACTGTTTCTTCCTATAGAGGACCAAAAAATAACATAAAAAATATCACAAAAAAAATAGGAGAAAAATGTATACATTCCTTGCCTTAATTTGTGTATAATAAGTGCTCGGGCTCGGGCACGCCGGCGTATGATGAATATTTATAAGGCAATGCCAGTGGCAGCGATAGCGGCAGCATCTTCATCGCTCAGGACTTGCTACGAAAACTTTTTAAGCAAACAAATGAAAAATGAATTTCCTGCTTATGTTTATGCTTGGCATATGCTGAATGCCCTGGCTCACACACACCCGAACACACACACATACTTTTACAAACACCATCAAGGCAGACAAAGGCAGAGCGTGAATAAATATTACTCATACGCAGCGTTGTGCAACATTGTGCAAATGCCAGAGGCAAGTATTTACACCTAGACGTAGCACAATCAAATGCTACACAAATGTGTGAAAAATGCATAATATCCATAAGCATGTGTGGGGTCCAGGATCCGGCTATCCATTTATTTGTACACAAAAATCTAAAGGATGAATTTTGGTAGATTATATGGGAAATTGAAAGAGTAAATAAAGTTCATTTGATAGGAAAATCATATTTTTAATGTTTGGATGTACACTTTCTCATGGAGTTTGTTTATCTTTTAATAAATATTAATTGATTTCAAGCATAAGCGAGTTTATTATTCTAAATTTTCTATGATATAATTCAGCTTAAAGCAAAAGGTAAAGCAACTATACTTTTGTAGTAATAAATAAATACTCAAGACTACTTTAACATATCAGTTGATAAGTCATATTTGAGTAGGTGAATAATCTGTAATTATCTCTGACATTTTCTCTCAGTGAGCCAGAGCTTAGTATGCAGTATTGTGTGCTGCAAAATGGCTTCCATTGCAACAATGCTGTGTGGCAGCAAGTGCCGTCAGCTACAGAAAAAAGCAGCTGAAGCTCTAAAAGAAACAGCAGCTCACTCTCATAATGATTATCCATTGAAATGGAAATGCCATCCGAGGATTTAATATAATTCCCAATGCGTAAAGTGCGATCTGCCGAGCGAAAACTTTTCAAAAACTTCCCAAGGAGCTGCCGACACAAGGATGCACCTCAGCATGAGTTGCAGGGCCGAAGAATAGAATTCAATTTAAATAGATTTCCGCTTAGGGGAAATTTAAAAGAGAGAAATAGAGAAAAAAAAAAGTGAATGGGAAGGCAATTGTTAACACTGAGCCAGCTTGCTGTGGCGCTTCCGTTATTGTGAATGTGTGTGGGCGTGGCAGGCTGATTGAAAAACTACTAACTACAAACACTAAGCACACTCAACCATGTCCATGTGAGATGGCAACAAAAAATAAAAAAAAAGGGAAGAGAAATCGAGGACGATGGCAAATAAATACGAAAATGAAGAGCTGAAATAACAATTGAGTGATGTTTACTTAGACGAAATTGATATTCCCCGCTTCATGTTCATTTAAATTGATTTCAAGCCGGCAAACATTCAAAATTAGCAAATCAGAATTATATATATATATAGTTATTTAAATAAACATTGCGCTAACCAGAGAGAGATCATCATAAATAAAGTGGCTCAAATGGATAGAGGATTGCCAGGAATATCCTTTGCTGCTGGCATCTCTGGCCAATATCCTGCTCAAAGGAGCCGAATGCTAAGCAAACGTGCGTGCGAAAAAGGTAATTGAAAAATAGTTACCATTTCCTCTGCTACCTGGAGAAAAAGGAAACTCGAGTTTTTCTTTCGTTCTCGCCTTACCTTTGCACCGTGCAACCGTGCACTTGCCACCGCCACTCGACGATTTCTTTTAGGAGTTCACTGGCAATTGCTTATTTTAGCTTCTACCATTGGCAATCGCAATTGCTGCAATTGAAATGCAGCCAAGAGAGCCTGCCCACTTACTGGCAATTCCCTGGCACTCGAATTAAATTTTAATGAAGTTATTTGAATTTTAATTATTTCAAACTTGTTCGCGAGCCACTCCTTCCTTCCTTGGTGGCGCCGCGTTTAAATCAATGACCGGAAAGCATTATAAAATTATATTTATATATATATAGAGAGAGAGAGAGAAAATTTGTATGGAATATGTGCTAGTGGCTGTCAGCTGGGGAAATGATTTAAGTTTGCCGGCAAACAATCCTGGGTTTTTTGGCCGGGTCAAGCGACCACATACCGGCAAGCATATTTCAAACTGTCCGGCTAAATCACGGGGCCAGAGAGCGTTGGAAATAAAATCAGAAAAACCGGCGACGGACAGCGACACTGACTTTCGGGGGCAATAAAACATAATAATTAACATTTTGCGAGAGCCGTTTTGATAAATGACGATGCGGCGTTTCATTTAAAATTATACATATACCGGAGTCTAGCATACTTTTCAGCGTTATGCTAATGGCCAGCAGCTTAACCGCAGACTTGCATGGCAACTTTTAATTACATTTTGGCCAAGTGTGTGACATGTGTAGGTGTGGGAGAGCTTATGTCAAAGCACTGAGAAAAAATATAGAAATTTAGAATTATGATTTGATTAAATTTTCTTTGAAGAGATAAAGCAATATTATATATATATTTCTTATAACAAAGCTCTTTTTTTTTTGCAAAGATCTCTTTACCTTTGGATTTAATTACTTAAATAACCTGTTTTTATCAGTGCACGTGTGTGTGTCCTGCATTTGCATGAGACTGACACCTTAGGAAAAGTGCGAGCGGAAAAGCAGAAAATGTAAGTAATGACTAAATGCGCACTCTGACAGTCTAACATGACAAAAATGTTCTTGTTTCCTCATTTCTGTTTTAGTTTTTCTTTTTTTGTCCTCCTTTCCGTCATTTTTCCGTAGTTTTTCTTTTTCGTCCCTAGCTGAGCTTGATAAATGATATGCCTGACACCAACAACAATGTTGCCTGGAAAAGTTGTTCTGGACAGATACGGTTACACTTTCACTGCAATTCATTTGACCTTTTCCCCCTTGGCCGTTTTGTTCGGAAAAATCCTTTGAGTGAGCGAAGGGGATTTCCATCATAAACCAAAATACAAATGCACAAATAAATATGAAAGCGGACATGAATGTGTTGAAGGAGAAGCCAAAAGAAGACCCTCAAGCAAATGAAATGTAATGAAATGGAAAGGAATTCATGCTCAAAGAAAGTCAGAGAAAAAATATATATAAAAAATATATATGTATAAATACGTATACGCAAGAAAATGCGAAAGTATTATTTATGAGTTTGCGGCACAAGGCGGCAAAAGATTTTTATTCCATTTCCTTGGGTCCCTTTTAGTTGCAAAAGTTGTTGTGGTTAAGTTTTATGGACCCTTTTAATGCTCTTTAGGTCATATTATTTAAAGGAAATTCCGTATTTCTATTTAAATAAAAGAGAAAAGTCTACTTTATTAATACTTTTTTATATAATATATTTATTTGAATTAGATTTGAATGTTTTAATAATTAAATTACTATGGTTTATGTTTAGTTTTTTTGTTACAAAAGAAATTTACAATTAATTAAATGGTTTTACATTTTTCTTTAACTTTTTATGATGTATTAATCCCAATGTTAGTGTTACTTTTACAGTAAATTGTATATTTTATAGTTTTAATTAATCTTTGATGGGTTTAAGATGTGGATATAAAATATTCCCAACGACCCACTTCAGAGCCTGAGTGCAACATTGTTTTTGGGAGCTCATTTCACTTGAGTTTTCCAGCCGGTAAAAGCTTAGGCCCATTCTGTGTCTCTTTAATTGGTGTTTGGGCCATAATTAATTAACCTTTGTTGAGGTGACCAAAGCAACAATGCCCAAAAAGGGCGAAAAGCCAAAAAGGAAAGAGCCAGTGGCTGAAAATTAATGTGATTACATTTCTCTCGTTGCTTTTAGTCCACTTTTCTATGGTTTCTTGTGGCATTTTAAATATTTAAAAACAGAGCGCCATAAGCCAAGAAGCAAATGAAATACATATTAAGCTTGAGAGGTGGCCAAATCCGAGGCGACCCTACACTATATATACTATATATATAAGTATATCTGTAGATGCTGCAGTTGTCGCCAAGAGGCGTTTTGCTGACTGTGCAAATTGTGTTTCATTGATTTTCAGTTTCACACTTGGCTCGCACGGCATCGGTATCCTTGGTATCCTTGGCATCCTGACGGCATGCCATGGCTGCATTTTTAATGCGCATTGCAGTGACCGAGCCGAGCAAATATTTAATAAACTTTTTAAATTGCGCATACGCCGCTTGTGACCGAGGTCAAGGCACACTGAAATCGCTTCCATTACAAAATATATTTTAAGCACAAAAATATACATTTTATCCATAATCAAAAGTCTACATTTTGGATATATTTTTATGTTGAAGCGAAAGATAAAATTCCTTTGAGTATTCAAAAGTTGCGAGTAAATTTATATTTAAATATTTGTAGCTGGCAAGTTACCAATTACGGACGAGCCGACCGATTCCTTCTGGCATTGTTGATGGCTCGCACTGTGAAAAAGTAGATGAACTCAATGCCACTGAGAATGCTGGCACCCAGGAAGAGGCCCAACATTCCTCCCATGGACACCACCACGTCTAGCCTGGTCCGAAGAGCCTGTCGCCGATACTGATCCGTGGGTAGAGCTGGCATGGAGAGCGTAATATTGCGCTGTATTGTACCCTTTTCGAAACTATTAATGTTATAAATTAATTTCCCTAATTAATAGTTAATGTATTTAATAGACTAACGTGGAAATGGCCTCGTAAATGGCTTGTATATCGCCATCATTGCAGGAGGGCAGACAGCCACAGCTATCATTGAAACCCTTGTTGTTATTCATCAGCAACTTGGCATCTGGCTTTGCCACCATATTGAGCTCTAAGCAGAGGAGTCCATCCAGACCACAGTCAGGATATCGTGGATCGGCCAAGGGATTCATATAGTATGGCGTACACCCACACTTGGCCATCTGAATGTTTCTCGTGCAATCACTGAGACAGGTACTAAAACTATACGCCTTGTATACGCTCAATGGCAGATTCTCCTCAGGAAATCGGCAACTACGCAGCTTCGGATCAATCTCATGCACATCCGGATCATTGTCCATGGTCTGACGATGGAACTGCAGATACTTACCCTGTCCCGGATCCGTGACAGAAACACCCACAGGCTGCAGGGCCGTGTGTGGAATATCTTCGGCATTCAGAAGACTCACCTGAACCGGCAGATTTGTATTCACCTGAAGCAAAGCTTTTTCGTTGGCAGGATCAAGTTCAGTGCGTAGCCAATGCTTTGATCCTGGCTCATTATTTTGCAGGGAATTGAGCATAAAACATAGGCCATAGGGTGTGATCAAGGGCAAAAAGTACCGGCAGCAGTCGAATTTCTTTCCAGAGAGCTGACAGTTCACAAAAAGATCCGAGCAGTTGGCTCCAAACTAAAAGAAATTATTTAGACCTACAAATATAATTCCATTTTCCAACTTACTTGTCGTTGTATTTGCCGATAGTTTTCAGTAGGACACTGGGCACAAGTCGAACACTCCTCCTCCGGTGCTTGGCAGTGATTCTTTATAATGCCCTCATGGTACTGATGTGGAAACAAAATATATGCAATATGGGATTCCACTTCAAAGTTGTAGTCGCCACCATCGACATCGCCACCCAAACTGCAAAAGCTGACATTATTTAAACTATTATCTATAACCTTAAACAAAGTTCAACCTGCGAATATAGGCCTCCACTTGTTCTGTTAGTTCGTACTTGTAGACAACTTCACACATACTGATAGTGGGAAATTTCCATTTGGAAAATGGCGGTAGACTCTCGTAAACGATGCTTGCAGCTCGGGTGGGAAAGCTGCTCTGATAGTCATTGATCAGGTAATAGCAACCCATTGCAGAAAGTACCACACAAAATAGCCAAAAGATGCGCTCCGTGAAATGCAATCTGCAGTCGAGAAGGAACTACTACAACAAGTCTGTGATCCAAAAATGAGAGAAAACTCGTTACCAACCTGGAGTTGGCTATATAGGCGAAGCCTACCAATGTGCAATTGGCGCAGTAATCCTTTAAGTAGTTCACAAACTTCCAGAACAAGTCCCTGTTCCTGCTCCTGGTGGTGCTCCCTTTTTCACCCTTTTCGACGGTTGGTCGATTCATGGCAAAACTGGATATCTGGAGGGCACTGTCTCCGCCTCTTAATATAAGCCGATCTCGGAGCTCAGGTCCTTCGTGGTGGACTTGACCGGGCCAAATAAATTGGTCTTGGCCAAGCACGACACGGTCAGCCAGTCGTTGGGTAAATTTGTTTGTTGTTCGATTCGAGTGGATGTTGATGCACTGGGAAAAATATTAAATAAGTCTTTGACAAAAGTTTTATTTAAATCTATGTCTTTAACAATTTTTTTTTACCATTTTATATTCCTGTACATGTTTTAGGGATCAATAAAATTAAAGGAAAATATTTAAATAATACTTTGCCATATATTTCTTATATATTTCTTTTGATATATTTATTTATCATTTACCCAAGCCTCCAATTAATCATTCTCTTTGGAAAAATCCCCTTGGTATTAATTTTTCTTTCTCTGCAGAGAGTAAGGTGGGGCATTGCAACTTAATGGCATGCAAGTGCGGTATTCTTGCCCACACATCCACACACACACACACACCTCTGCACCCCAAAAACGCCCACACAACCCACTCAAAGTCGGCGTGGGTCTGCATGTGAAAAGCCTTTAATTGGTATTTGCTTTGTGCAGGTGTCGCAATAAGGATTTAAATGCACACTTGCCCACAAAACAGCACACCGTTCTGCGTGTATTTACATATGTATATATATAAATATATTTCAGTGCAGGTGACACAAGGAATCAAGTTGGTATTGTGACACTTAGGGTGTAAAATTAAATGCGATAATTCCCTCAAGGACATTCCACAGAAAAAATATTTTATTGACTGCACACAATTTAAAGGTAATATGGTAAACATTTGTTATTGACATTTCAAAGTCAACATAAACAAAAACATATTGTTAACACTTTAGAGTCAATTTGAAATATGGAAAAAACACTGTCCAAAGCAGCTTTACATCAATTATTAATTGTCTTGGTTAAAAATAAATCATTTATTGAAGAGTTGTAGGAAATGTATGTCAGTAGAGAGTAGGTTAGTTTCTCAAAGGATAAATAAATAAATCACGTTCGAATAATAAATATTCTTAAAATTTTTGTTATTAAAACCGGAAGGTGAAGCAAAGTATTTTAATGTTTCTTATAAGAAAACCTCAGGCTTCTTTTGCTTATCTATAATTAAATCAAAAAATACCATATAAAATGTCTTTAATTCTTTTGAGTAAAGGTTTATAATATTTGATAAAAATATTAAATTATAAATATATTAAATATTACATATAGTTTGACTTTATTCCCCACTGACTTTTGACCAACAACTTTGACGGCGAAACATTTTCCGCCACTTGCTGCCACCTGCTTCTCGTGTGAGTACGTTTAACTTTTCCGTTGGCATCGCCATCGCTTTCCCGACTCCTTTTCACCGGCATTTTCCCCGCAAGAGCAACCAACCCTTCTGGCAACCACCTGGCAACACCCGCTTAACACCTGCACCGCCCAATTATGGCAGTTAAACCATCCACTGTGCCACCGATTTTCCTGGCCAAAACTTCAACTCTGGAGCAACACCTACCTGCACTCTTGCATTGAGTTATTAAGTAAAACCAGTGAGTGAGTGAGTGTGCACACACACTCATCCACACACACTCCCACCCAAAAACAAACACACACAAGCACATGTACATATACACACGTCACCGAGACACATGGACGTGCATAAATTGTAGTCAACATGTTTTTGGTGCTTAGAACTCGACGCTAAATTAGAATTATGCAATTACGGCTCATTTGCGCTGCACACGATTGCAGCGGGGCGTTGTCGCAGCTAGAAAAACACTTAAAAACAATTAGAGTGCTTATTGAAATTCGAGCTGACAACATGCGAGCTGCATGAAAAACTAATGCGAACATTTTAATTATTTATGCATCTCTGAACATGCAACGAGGCAAATTGTTTTCTAAATCGCAATGCCAATGCTTAATGTTGTACTTTACTCGCTTTTCAATGACAATATGATTTCAATTTCACATTTAAGCCTTTAAAAGGGAAATTATGGTTTTATTTGTACAAGACAATCAGGAAATCATTCAATTAGGTTTGTTTTTCTATTTAATTTTATTAGAGTTCCATGGGTCTTGGATTATGCATCGCTTGTCATAAATATATTGTCCGAGATCTGCTGAAACTCATTGTAGAAAGGGCTCAAGTTAGCCTTTTGCAAAGCGGCTTCTCCAGGTCCTTGTTTCAATTCTTGAGACTCTTGACCATCTTTACGTGTCTCTGAAGGAATAACATCAGCAATTTGGGGGCTCTCCTCCGAAACTAAATCCAAAAATGTGGTAAACATGGAATCCAAGTGCTGATTAAACTCCATTTGTAAATATTTTAAATATTGGAAGTTTCTCTTGATTTGTGTCTTTCTTTTTGCTACGCCTGACAGATGAAGCAAGAAGAAAAGATTACTTTATATTTCAATTAACAAAAATAAAATTGAACGAAGCTTAAGCTTATTTATGTTTTATGGTTAATGATAAATAAATTATATATATTAATGTGTAGGTCTCTTTATGTAATGAATTCCGCTGCTTCTACACTTCCACGGTATTATAATTTCACTCACAAGCTTATAACCATGTAAAGGATTCATTTCCGACCCTATAAATCATATATATTCTTGATCAGTGTTAACAGCCGAATCGATCTAGCTATACTAGGGAGAAAAAAAAATTTGACAATTTTAAATAAAAATAAATTTAATTTTTTTTAAATAAATAAAATTAAATTTCGTCTTTGCAAGTTTAAAAAATTGACAAAAATTAATTTTTTTTACAATTTTAAATACAGTATGCAGATTTATTAACCTAATAAAAACTAGCATAGGACAGCTTTCCGAATCGAAATTAATGCATTTTTGAGTAAGTTATGAGTTTTTCAAATTTTAATATGTTGAATAAATTGTCATATACAAAAATCGATAAATATCGATTCAAGGAAAGCGAATATTTTAAGCTTAATTATTATCCAATTCTGATTCAATCCCAGTATTTGATTGCGAACTGCAAAGGTACATACACTTCGACTTTTCGAAGTTAGTTTATAATAGTTTACAGTTTATAATCCTACAAAGTGACTCTTGGATCCTCCCAATGAAACACCGAAAAATAAGCATTTTTAAATTTGTACCAGACTGTTTTTTATAGGGTTTGAAGCAACTTAAATTAAGAAAGAGCTGAAAAGGAAGACTTCTGCTGTTTTTGGTAGCTCGAACTCCCCTGTTAAATCCATCATAGTAGTAACTTGTTATTGTTTTACTTGTTTACCTTTGGCAAAACTCATTTAATTATTTATTTTAAACAAGGAACGGTTTTGATAAACGTGAGCTTCTATTCACTGTGTCAAATTAAAAGTTTCTTACTTTAGTTTTTGTATTCAGAAACAATCACTTTGCCATGTATGTTTTTATCACACTTCGTCCTGTTTTTAATACTCAACTTTAACGATTCGTTTGTCCAATTTGTGGGTATAACCCAACGCTCTCGATAAAATCAACTTATCATTCACATGCAAAGAGCGGCCAAGTTATATGCACTCGACTCGGTTATTGGTCACAATTGTTTGGCAACACGAGCGAACCAAGTTGTTAAATATTTTTGCATTTATTTTTTTTATAACAATACTTCATTTTTGTTGTTTCCGAGAGAGACATTGGCAATTGAAATTGGAAATGTACCAAAAAAGACATTTAAGAAATCATTTAAATATGAAACGCGGTGAAAAAATATAAAACTGATTGAGAAGGCTATGAAAAATAAACACAAATTTTTTGGGAGACTGAATAAGTTCAATAAAAGTTAAAGGCATATTTTCCTCTCTGTTTAAGTATTGTTATTAAATATTTCTTATAATTAACAAAGCTGTATTTAGATTTAAATTATTCCAAGTTTACAAGACCACTGAAACCCAAAAGGACAACGTGAGGACCTCTTTTGTTTGCTCATCAGTATGTTGTGTAATTTCAGGTGTATCTGTGAAATACCTATCAAATGCAGTAAAATGCAAAACCATCGCAGAACTAAACAAGCGACAAGGCAATTTAAATACAAAACAAGCACACACACACAAAATTCGACAAAACCAAACAACTAATGTTCGATCGAGTGTTTGAGGTGGACGGGGAAATCGTTGACGTCGACACACAATTAACTTCAAAATACTCCAAGCCGTGTTAAGTGTCAATTAGTTAGAGCCAGAGCTTGAAAGCCATGAATGCGAAATTATACAGCTAAAATATCAAACATATACACAAGTATTTACATATTCAGATATCATTTCATATATAATTGCGTATGCTAAACAAGTTGCCAAAATGCTGATTATCGCCTCTAGATAGAAAGCCACTAAAATTGCATGAAAATAATGAGTTCTTCTATCAAGATGGAATGTCTGAAGACCAGAAAATAAATGCGGATAATAATAGAGTTTAATATGGTCTCGGCCAGCCAATGAGATCATCATGAGAGTGGAGCTCATCAAAGTCAATATGCTATGCCTCATTTGATTTATTCCCCGAAATCATTCTATCTCTAAAAGTTTAACCAAAATTGGTTTCGAATATTAAAAAAGTTTCTGAGAAGGCTCGCCCTCAACTCATAACGGTTTGTAAATGACTTTTGCTTTTAAGTTGAACTCACATAATTTCCAAACATTTCTAATAACCAGCCGATACCCCAAAATAGTCAAAACAGCCGCCAATAAATAAAATCGGGTAAAAAATCAAAAATTGTATTGGTAAAACAAGGAATGACCAAATATAATATGCAGACCGCAAAACAATAAAAGTGGACAACCAAAAAAAATCAAATTTGGACAACAAAAATCAAACAAAAGCTCAGGAACACACTCACATGGCACACACACCAGAAATCGTGTCCAAGTGCCACGTTTTGGCTAAGCAATAGGGCGGGAGGGCCATGACCCCGCCCCCCATTCTACCCAAAACTCCCGCCCATAACTAACCCCTCCCTCCT